GTGGCGAGGGTGCCGTTTGAGGTTTGGACAGATAATAAAATTCTTGGAAGTGCTCCGAACCCCTCGCAACCTGAACACAAAGCAGCTTCAGTGGGCTGACTTCTTCTCTAAGTTTCAGTTCACCCTACACCATTTCCTAGGCAAATCGAACTCCCTAGCGGATGCCTTGTCCCACCTTCCACAGCACGAAAGCCGATGCGAGGAAATCCTCAACTCCATATTCACGCCCTCACAATTAGGCGGAGCTGTGATGACACGGGGACAAGCTAAACACGCCCTCCCCCTGTCCCCCCCCTCCCGGGGGATGGGAAGCCAAGTTTGCCACCGCCTTCTCAGCATCTGACTGGGAGGAGGTAAGGGTGGTGGGGGACTTGGTGCAAAGAGGAAACGACTGCTGGTACAAAGAGGATAGACTATTTGTTCTTGGACTGTTGCGAGGGGAGATATTGGGCCTGGTACATGGAGTTTCGTGAAATCCCTGCATCTCCTGCAGCACCAGTTTTGGTGGCCACACATGCGCAAGGATTTATCTCTGTATGTACACTCTTGCCAAACTTGCGTCATGTGTAAACCCTGAAAAGGGAAACCCCCTGGCTTGTTGAAACCATTGCCAACCCCTAGTAGACCATGGGAGGTGATTTCCATGGATTTCATCACAGACTTACCACCTAGCAAATCCATGATGGTAATCTGGGTAGTCGTGGACCTGTTTTCTAAACAAGCACATTTCATTCCGTTCCCCAGCTTGCCGACAGCACAAGTGCTGGCTAAAGCATTCCTCAAACATGTCTTCAGACTCTACACGTTGCCAACCAAGATAATTATGGATCGGGGCTCCCAATTTATTTCAAAGTTTTGGGGGGAGCTCATGGAACTTATGGGGGTGGAGAGGGGCTTAAGCAGTGGTTACCACCCAGAAACTGATGGCCAATCAGAATGGGTAAATCACACCCTAGAACAATACTTGAGGTGTTTCACCAACTATCAACAAGACAATTGGATAGAATTGCTGACCTTGGCTGAATTCTGTTATAATAATGCATGCCACTCATCCACAGGGGTGTCACCATTCAAAGCAGCCCTGGGCTATGACAGCCCCCCAATTCCCTTTCTTACCACGGAACCAGGGAAAGGGGGTGAGGCATTCGAGTGGTGTAGAACTCTACGGGACTCGTGGCCAGGGATTTGTGAAACATTGGATATGGCCAAGGCAGCTTACAAGCACCAGGCTGATAAGAAACGGGTGGAGGGTTGGGCTCTGCAGCCTGGGGACTCTGTATATGTGTCCACAAAGAACCTGCGGCTTTCTCAATCATGTTGGAAATCGGCATGGAAATACATTGGTCCTTTTAAAGTTGTAAGGTTAATCAATGAAGTGACAGTAGAGTTGGACGCCTAAAAATCTAAAGCATATCCATCCAATTTTCCATTTCAGCCTGCTGAAAGCCAGTCCAGGAACTAATCAATGGTGCCTGGAACCCACAGTGCCCCCCCCATTGGTGGAGGGCGAGGATCCTTATGAAATCTCCGACATTTTGGACTCTAAAATGAAACGTGGGCGACTGTATTACCTGGTGGAATGGGTGCACCGAGAATGGGTGGAAGTAAATGATATTCGGGCCCCTGACCTTTTGCGGAAATTCCACGACCGTCTCCCGGCCATTCCGGGAGGAGGTTGACTTGGTTTAGGGGCAGAATGTCAGCTAACTGCCATGCTTTCATTGTTTTCGTCTGTAGCGCATGCTTGCTTGCATGGCTTAAACTGCTGTAAACAACATTTGGGAGGCGCTCATGAGACCATGTGTTATCTGCAGAACCTTGTGGAGGAGGGAGGGCTTGCATTTCACTGTCGGTGTGAATATTTCTGCTCTCATGGTGCACGGGGAGTCTCCCGATCATGACCTAATATCCTGCCGGGAGATTTCCCCCGACCGCGCTTGGATTTCATTTGCTTAGCCTATTGCAGCATCATGGTATATGTATTGATGCCTCAGCCTTCACAGTTATTCCTAACAATGTACCTGTATAAGCTGGCAACAGATCTGTAGTCTAGTAAAGCATGATTCCTTGGAACGTGTGTGGAGATTTGCATGCTGTTGATCCTGACATAATCCTTCCTTTTGTGCTGGGGTGTACAACTGGATATTTGCCAACCCCATAAAATGCCCAGTAGTTCCAGGATTGGATTGGCAATACTGGGTAGCATGAAAGGCACTCCCAAAATTTAAAAGACTGTTAGTTTCAATGGGCTAGGTCTACCACCCATTGAAACAGTGCCCTTTTAAACTTTAAAGGGCTAGAAACATTTGATATGCTGCAGCCTTGAAGGGGGAATTCGACACTTCAAAAAAATGGTGTAATTTTGTTCTGTATTCAAAAAGGGAATGATTATTGTTCTCACTCAATTTTGAGTATACTGATAATACTGTAACAATACCCCTGATGTTTAATGAAAATGATAATCATACCCTTCCCACTATAGAATTAAAACAATATTTTTGAAGTGTACACCCTCTATTCTGCACCTCGGTTGTATTTACAAATTATTCATCATTCCCCACAATAACAAAATCATTACTATAGCTATCATAACACAGTCTGGTGTTTGTTTAAGACCCATTGAGTGGGATTTCTTTCACAAATAAAGCCGTACATAAAGAGGTTGTTAGAGATGCCAATCTCACTTGATAACATCAGTGAAAATTGAGATTAAATGACATGTTACAGAGTCAAGTCCTAATTGTAAAGCATTTTATATTTAGTGGATTTTTGTGTAGAAGACTACCTTGTCTCTCCGAGAATGCTCTTAAGACTTTGCTCCCAGAACAGACTGGATGAGTCATATTGCAAGGTACAGCTTTTTGGCATGGTGAAAATTTTTTCCTCCCTTAATAGGTTGTATATTGGAGAGAAGTGAGACTTCTGTGCCAAGTCAGCTTTGTCTGGGCCAGTAAGGCCTTATGAGAACACATCAAATAAAAAAAATTAATGATGTTCTGTCCTGTTTCATTTTTATCTGCTGTTAACAAGACGAGTGAGAAAGGCATAGAGATTCCTTCTAATGGAACACTTGTGATCTCTGTTTTGCAATAGGAACAGAATTTGAGTTGGTGCTTATTGTGAACAGGTCTTGATCTGGAAACTGCCAAAGCCCAAATACTAGGATGAGGCATCTATCTGAAAGAACCCACCTGTGGTGTCTGTGTGTTAGAGTCCCACACAGCCTATCAGTACATACATCCTCTAGCCCTGTAAGATGGATGATAAGGTGGGTGTGTTTAACTATACACCATTTCCATACTTGGATTGCTTCTATACATAGGGTTAGAGAGGTCATGTCTCTGAAGCTGTGGTACTGTCATTTGGATAGTCCTGTCCAAAGTTCCCTCTAAGCTGTGGAGTCTTGTGAGCAAAAATTCTACTTTGTGAGCTACTGGCATTAAAGTTGTGAGCGAGCAATTTGGCTACTGCATTAAATTAGTTTGGTCTGGAGCCATCCTTCCTGAGCTAAGACCAAAATGTCTGAGCCGGAGGCTAAAAAACTGTGAGCTAGCTCACACTAACTCAGCTTAGAGGGAACACTGGTCCCGTCTCTGATGATTTTCTGGAAGTAGAATATGGTACCTTTATAGCTTTTATTTCCAGTACACCAGTATTACCTGGCTGGAGTCCGAATCCCATGTATATGCTGCCCTATGTAATGAACTCCCCACCTGTGGAAGGAGGCATCTGTGTTAAGCTAGATGGTTGTTGTGGTCTTATCCTGAGGCTCACAAAGAGATTAAATTGGGGGGGGGGGGGGCATGTGGCGGTGGTGGTTACACTGAGATGGGATCAATTACAGTTCTCGTACGGGACTGCACAGAGGACCATGATGGAAGGTTCCTGAAAATCATAACCATAGCCTCAGCAACTAATACAACTATAGCTGACCCATGACAGTTAAATCCCATTGTAACAAAATGGAATAGGTTATGTTGAAGTCTTACAGCTTGCCTGAGTGTGGAGATTATCATAGTTCCTAAGCCTTCTCAATGGTGGTGATCTAGTTCCGGTACTCTCTTACAAAGAGAACCACTCAACAGAACCATTAATGATTACATGAAAATCACTGGATGATTCCTGTGTTTATGAGCAATTAGATTTGTCTGCTTGCTTTATTAACTAATGCCTTGAATCCTCTAGAGGATTTCCACCAATTCCCCCTCGTGTTTGCAGACCTCGTGCTGTTCTTGAGGGGGAGAAGTACCCTGTCCCCAGGAGCAGCAGCTCAGGCTGCAGGAGGAGAGGGGAGGTAAAGAAGCCATTTTTGTGTACAGAAACTTGTTCCGTCTACAGAAATTATCAGTGGATATAAACCATTTACAAGGGGTCCTGAGGACTCTTTTTAAAATGTGGAAAGATAAGGAAGGAGGTCCGTAGAACTTACCCTTAACTCCCAGTACTTAAAATGTTTGAGCTTTGAGTGACATCCTAGCAGCTCTGTCATAAGCCTAGTCTATCAAACGTAGACCCATTTATAGAATTAAGCATTTTTTTCCTTGTCTGGAATGGATAGGAGGATAAACATTTTAAAGCTGTAGCTTCATTATAAGAATGGAGCTAATGTTTGCTTCAACATTGTACTACAAATCAAAGTCTTCACATAAAACATAAGAGTACTGAAACAACAGAATCTGTACAAATTACATACAGTTCTTTATTAAACAACTGTAAACACTTCACTGTAAAAATCCATAAAACCTTTATAAACAAACATTTTGCAAATAGATTCTATACTACAATGAAAGAATTTGAACACAATTATTTACATGCAATACTGACAAATTTGGCACTTTCTTGAAAGGAAATGTACAAAACACTTTCTTCTTAAAAAAAACTTCAACTTATAAAAACTTAGCTTTACTGTCATGCACTTTGCAAATACCTCACAAGCACTTATGGCACAGCTACCAGAGAGCTCCAGGCTCTCGCCACATCTATCCAGGCCTCTAGGTATTTCAGATAACTTTTAATGTGCTTCCATAAGTTTGTTGCAAAACCACCTGAACATTGTCAAGAATGAAGTCAAATGCCATGTTCCACACAGATTCCACCGACTGCTGCATTAACCTGAGGAGAAGGAAAGAAGCCACTCTTCAGAACAAAGCATCATTACCATCAAGACCAAGAATAATTTTCTTATAGCAGGATACCTGGGAGGAAATGACAGCTTTGAAAACTGTTATTTACTTGTTTTAGCCATTGCAAATGCACCATTTAAAGATTATTTCACTGCTAGAAGCAATACTGTCCCCTTGTTCTTGAAACAAATGGTACAGAATCAAATTTTGAACATAAAATTGTATTTGTGGAATAAGTTACAAAAACATAAAATGCACAAAAAACAAAGCTTCTAAAGCTGTTCATGAGGGTGGAAGGGAAGGGTGTATGTGCTCTCCTGAGCACTTTGAAGAACAAGGTAAAAATAATGCTACTAAATAAATGATCCTACTAAGATTCTTTGTGACTTCTCCTCAAATCCGAAGCATTTGTGATACACACAGCAAGAAATTTAAGACTGAAGTTCACAAAGGAATGAGCATTATTGATCCAGGTGAACTTTTCTGCCCTGATGAAGAAAAATGTCTGGATCCCACATAAGTGACCAAGAACTGCACATTTATTATGCAAGAGAATGAAATAGTATGGATGGTGTACAGCAGTACAAAGGAAAGATTAACCAATATAGAGCGTGAAGATGTTCTTGAGTCTTCAATCAACTTTTTATAACTGCACTTTCGGGGGACAAACTTTTTAATCTACATATGTAAATTAATGACCTAAAATTAAGCTACCTTTTCATATACTTTATAACCAAATCCAACCTCTCCAAATCTTTTTCTTCTATCAGATCAGTACAATATTTCACAACTTGTAGGATGTCTTCCTCCATGGGATCTATGGAAAAAAGTTCGATACAGAATTATTAGTGCCTCAAATTCAAAAAGGGGGCAGGTACTTAAAGCATTAAAAATGTAAACAGCTGGCTGCTGCTGGGGGTGGGGGAAGAATCTATTGGATGCCAATTCTCTGGCAAAGAATGGTTGTGCCTTGAACTCTCTCTAGAGCAGGTTGCTGAGAGATCTTTTCAGCCCTTGCCAGTTCTTGTATTTCTACAGCCCTCTCCATTAAGGTTTTCTAGCATGATTATGGCACAGACTGACCTATATTCATCATTAACAATCTTCACCTAGAGGTCAATGGGGCAAACTGGCCCACTGGTGATCCTGTTATACTTTGCTGCAACTTCTGATAGTCTTATTCTTGAGGTACTGGTGATATGGACTGTGGGACCAAAGATATTTATTGGTATCTGCTTCACACATATCTAGTGATCTTACCTTTTGAAAGATTAACAAAATTCTGTCCAATATAGAAACAGAAGGCATGTAGTGCAGTCTCTCAAATGATTTCCACCCCTCCAATTACATTATGCATCTTCTCATTAAAAGAGGAGTGAAACTACAAGATTACCTGATATGGTTGTAATCCATTCCTTGAGTAAGGCCTTTACATCATTGAACTCAACAGCTCCAGCTAAATTAGGGACCTGCGGCCTAGTAACAGAAGGTAAGTGTGGCTGTGAAATGGAAGGGCCTGAAGTATTCACAGTGCTTTGTACTAATTCCACCTGTTTAAAAACAAAACATACAATTTTCTTTCCTGTCTTTCCAACGGCAAACCTTAAGAAGGCAACCCAGCTTCTCCAGGCACCCAAGACGGAAAACATTATCAAATTTTAATGTGTTTTGATATTTGGAGGCTGTAGTCACTGGAGATAAAGTTACCTGAGATTTGTCAGTGGTTGCTCCTTCCTGTTTTAGGAAGTCATCTATTAATTTCTGTGGGCTTCCAACAGAAATAGCTGCATTCTTTGTGGGGCTCCCAAAGAGTTTGTTTTTCAAAGGACTGTGGCTCTTTTTTACTGGGCTGGTTTGGAGTTTTTTCTTGCTTTTTTTCTTATTTTTCATAACTGGTCTCAAGTTTACTAAAGGATTCTTTGACACTGAGTGGGAAAGGATTAAAACAATGAGTATATTATCTAGCACCTGACGGCTAAGTAAGATTATCCTTATTTTAATTAAATCTCTATAGAGGGCAGCATCACTGCTGATGACTAGTCATTGCGAAACTTGAAAAAAGCTGCAACTACAAACTTACCCAAGGTATTTGCAGACTGCTGGAAAATCATTTCTATATGTTTTTGCCTTTGATCATATGCCTGTCTGAGCTCCTCTTGCAGCTCTGAAGGCAGCGCAGCAAAAACTTCAGGGTCCACCTGAACAATGAGAAATCCATCAGGGGTTATGCCACTGGCACACAATAAATTTTGATGTTTATATTATAAACATTAATTATAAGAAATTTATTTCTATTCAGTGCTCACAAACAGCATCAGTTAAAAGTATGAAAGATATGATGTCTGTAGCTGTATACATATGTGTTTAAAGTAGCAAAAAGTTAAAAACGTATCCTACAATAAATGTTAAACAGATCTACTAGCTGTACAAAGGCCTACTGGTCTGTAATTAAGCAAAAATTTAATTTATTTTAGTGCTGTTCACCTGTGAAAACGCTGGTAGTGCTATTACATTAATTCCTGCATCACTGCTCGATTCTTGGACATCTGGTATTTGTAAGAGAACAGCTCCAACTGGCTGTGTTGGAAAGCTGGCACTGCATCCATTTACTGGTTCTTTTTTGCTACTACTGCAAACCTCTGTGTGTTGAACAGAACACATTTGTTCTACTTGTTCTCGGAGATCAGGGGGAAGCGCTTCTAAGACAGAACGATCCAGCTATATACAAAAAATGTAAAGACAAAGTTTCAGGGAAAAGAACCAACACTTAAAATCTTTGTACACGTGCTCCCCCACTCCCCCCCAAAACCAAAAAGCTTTCTTTACTACCTATCTTCATCAGCAAGGTACATAAAATACAAAGAAAGATGCTTTCTTAGTTCAAGTTACTCATGCTTGAGTACTAGAAGAGAAGAATAGTTTTTTTATACCCTGCCTTTTCTCTACCTTAAAGAGTCTCAAAGCAGCTTAAATTGCCTCCTCACAAAAGTTAACTGAGAGAGTTCCGAGGGAACTATGACCGGCCCAAGGTCACCCAGCAGACTTCATGTGAAGGAGTGGGGAATCAAATCTAGTTCTCCTGATTAGAGTCCGCCACTCTTAACCACTACACCAAACTGGCTCTAGTAAACAGCTGAACTTGTGTAGCACTAGCATACTGTCATCACTTGCATAACTGTAGGTATCAGCCGTTACTCAAGATGGTGGTGGTAACTCAACCACCTCTGCTAAGATAGGATTTATAATGCACTATCCCAGAGGTCCCGCAGAACTAGATGGAGCTTTTGCCCAGCAGGGCTTCTGACTGGCTGTGCATCCTGTTAGACATAGCTTCTGTCTACAATGTTGAAGAGTTGTATTACAGTTAACCTTACTCCCTGGCATTCTGTGGATGGTTCTACCTCCTGAAGTGGCAATTTTGTGGTTGTTCCCTCTCCCTGTGTCAGAATTCCAAAGGTGCCCACAGGTTCAAAAAAGTTGTTGAGGACTCCTGCATTATTATCACATAATGGCCATCAATTTCCTCAGCTCACAGATCTTCACAATTGTAAACTGATAAGAAGTCTAATCTATTTTTCTTCAAGATTCAGGTATTAATTACGTAAAAAAACAGATAACTCACAGGCAGCTTTAGAGAAAACAAAAATTCCCAACTGTACTGTGCGGTCTGCCTTGAGAGAATATTGTCTTGCTACACAAAGTTTTATAAAGCTAGGAGCATGAAATGAAACCAAGTCAGTAAATTCTCTCATAAAAATATTCTTTATCCTATAGTTCAAGTTCATCCCTTCCAACGGTATTAAGAGTAATCATATGCACTTAATCAAATATTGATCTAAATTTTTACTTGAGCAATTCTGAAAGCTCAAGAAAAAGCAGTATATATGAGATTGGTGGGGCTTTAACTGTCACCCCATGACTATCGTCCTATAAAAAGGAATCATTCAATAAGAAAAGAAAGAATCCAGCTTGCTCTTTATGAAATTGTCTCAGGAATGGACATTTTACCTGGGAAGCTGATGGAACCTCAATACTTAAATTAAGTCTTGGCTTTAGACTGATAGGCGTGTGCAGACCATTCCAACTGACTGCAGGCTCAGATTTGCTGGTAACATGATTGACATTAGATGTCGGGTGAGGTGGTAGCACTGTACATGCTTTTGATGCAGAAGGTATTTCAAGATCCACAGCAGCCGCTATCATAAATGCAAATGATATACAAATTTTAAATCATTCAAAGTAAATGTGCTTGTACTATGAACACAGACCACTCTGTTTTCATATCCTCTATTACAAAATATGAAGTTATAGTTTTGCAATACCAAGTAATTATTCAGAGGAAATATGCAATTAGTTTAGCTAAATGTAGTATGTCCACAGTTGTTCACTTCTTCTATGTGAAGGGAGTCCAATATATTCCAGCTGCCATTTGGGTCTTCAATGGTAAATTGAAGACGGGGAGGGTGGGATATAAATTTGATAAAAGAAATAAATAAACAAATTATATGGAATCCCCATTTGGATCAGTGCCTTCAATCATTCTGTAAAACAAGTTCAGGCATTGTTTTTGCGCCATATTTTGGAGGCCCCAAATTGTATAGGGTATGTAGCCATGTGTCTGGAGACAGGGCAGAGCCTCCTAAAGACCACAGCTTGGCTCTCTACCTGAAATTCTGGCTTCATCCCCACTTCAGGATGTAATCCCCTAGCTATATTCAGTACATGTTGGCTAACTCCTTTACAAATACCTGGACTTGCTGAATAAAGTAGAAAATTCAGTTGAAAGAATCTCAAGCCTTTAGGCCACTGAGACTGAGGCTATTGGACAATGAAAAGCAATCTCTGTATTCTTTAGCAAATAGGATATGTTCTCTGATGTCGTTCAATATTGTGCTTGAGCAGGGAGCTTTAGCAAATAGGATATGTTCTCTGATGTTTAATATTGTGCTTGAGCAGGGAGCTTTAACCTCCTATTTCTCACATTTAACTTCTGCACAAATACAACAAGCTTTTATGCTCGCTAGGTTCAATGCCCTCCCTACAGTGGTCGTTTTTGGAAGATTACAAAATGTTCCCTATTCTCAAAGACTCTGTATATGTAAAGTTGGAAGCCCCAAATCTGTTGCCCATGTATTACTCTACTGTAATCTCTATGCTGAATTGTGCCCCTCTCTAATAGTCCACTTTTGTGTAAGATGAAAGGGTACTCTGAGGAGAGGCTTGTCTCATATCTTCTCTTAGACTGAAGCCCTCGTATTACTGGCCCAGTAAACAAAGGATTTGCTAACTGCTATGAGAATCCAGAAACTGAAGGCAAAGTGATGTGAAGAGGCATTTCCCCCTCTGTAATGTTTAATTGCATTATTTTTTCTTCCTGATATGTTTTAATCTCTGCCAATAAAGGTATTACTGACTAACAATACCAAGTACTTAGCAAGACTATCTGAAAACAAAAACTTATTCCAAAAAGGACTTTTAAAAATGCGATGCAATCCACACCTACATGTGATGTACTCAATTTGTTTTGGTATTACAAGGAAGAACTGCAGCTAACTTTACTGACCTTCCTTGTGTTGTTCTTCTGAGTTTTTTGTAGCTTTTGGAACTTGCAAAAGATTGATAATAGAACTGGAACCACCAGGCAAGAATCCAGACTGTACTGATGAGCAAGAGGAAACTGTTGAACTTGTTTTATTAACTGGAACTAACTGATGTACTTGAATTCCAACCTTTCAAAAAACACAGAAATTTGTGGCAATTTAAACAAAGTACAACTTCCATAAATTGCTAATAATTTAGGAAATAATTTAAGTTTTCCTAACATCTAAGCAGTATTGTATGTCTCCAGCTATGAAAAGGAACCAAAGGTTACCATGGAAAGCTGAACAGTCTACACAATTTAAATACAGGTCCTCTAAAATCTTAATCAGAAATAAAATATATTCTCCATTTCTATTTTTGCAGGCTTAAAAGAAGATATTTCTAGACAGTTGCTGGGCCTCTCCAGTCTCTGGAATATTTAAGACTTCACAGTTAATATAAAAACTAGTATACTATCTTGACCTTCTATGAAGTATATTAATTTATAACATTATTACATTGTTTGTACTGCAAATTCTTGATGGCCTCTCTTTTAGTGTGTGTGTCTTAACAAAGTAGAAAGAGAAAACTGTGGAAAAGGTTTAAAGTCCCAGTGATTAAAAAACTTACCCCTCTCATATCAGATATATTCAATTTCATTGTGTGAAACATATTTAACATCTCTTTTCCGATCACTTTGGCACTGTTGGTTGCATGCTCAAGAGTCACTGTCCTTAAAAAGAATAGATTTAAAAGTGCATGAAGATATCAATTTTAGTCAGCTATGTTAACAGTGATGAAAGAATACAGTTCACTTGGTGTCATACAAATGAGATGTAGACCATAAGGTTCTACTACCAGCTTGAGTTAAACATTAAGTAGCCAATTGGTGCACTCAAACCAGAGGGGAAAAATAGCTTTGAGAAAGAGGGTTTTCAGGGAAGAAGCCACACACATAACCCTTTCATTCCCCCCACCCCACCCATTCACTCTCTTCCACACCAGCTTCCAGACACGCATCTGTAAAGATATACACAAATCTGGGATGTAGACCATAAGGTTCTACTACCAGCTTGAGTTAAACATTAAGTAGCCAATTGGTGCACTCAAACCAGAGGGGAAAAGTAGCTTTGAGAAAGAGGGTTTTCAGGGAAGAAGCCACACCCATAACAACCCTTTCATTTCCTGTTTTATGCTACTCCCCCCCCAACCCATTCACTCTCCTCCACACCAGCTTCCAGACACACATCTGTAAAGATATACACAAATCTGGAAACCTGGGTGGGGCAGAAGAGGCAAAGTGGCTGGAGAGTGGAGTTGGAGTGGAAACTGATGGCTAGTGGAAGGGTTAAGCACCTCATCCCCAGTCCCTTTTCTGCTGAAACTATCCTAAAGCTTTTTCAAGACAAACAAATCAAAAAGGCACTTGGGTTGATCTATAGCAGGGATCCTGAACCTTGAACTTGATATCCTCCTACAATGGTGTTTCCTACAAACACAAAGCTGATGTGCTTCTGTAGGCTACAAAGAAATGATGGGTTGTATATGCATTAGAGGGAACAGCTTCATGTCTACTCCCAGTTTCTGGGGACTCTGTTTCTCTCTACAAATTATTTTTGCTTGAAGTACTGTGCACAAATGCAATTCTGTACAAGCATAATCACTGGATTAAGGAGCAGATGTTCAACCTCCTCCTCCTGAGCAGGTCAAAGGAAATCCAGTACTTTGGTTTACATCAAAAAATTGATTCTGCACAGTGGGGCTTGTCTGGCATGCTGCAATACCCCTTCTTAGAGAAATTCTTAAAAGTGTTAAAAAACCCAACCCTCTTGAAAATAAAACTGAAAACAATTTTTTAAGCAAGTAAGTCTTCGAGACACTTGAAAAGCAAAGCAGTTTGATGTATTGGGGGGGGGGGGGCAGTACTCAGTCCACAGGTTGTGTTTGTGTCATCTGAGAAGCAAAGCAGGAAAAAACAGGTTGCTTACCTGTAACTGATGATCTTCGAGTGGTCCTCTGTGCAGTCCCACACATGGGTTGGGCACCTGTGCACGACCTCATCGGGGAAAGTTCCAGAGCTTGCCTCAGAATCATTTTGGTGGGCTCTCTTCCCACTCTGGGGAGCAGGCACACACTGTGCATGCCTGGAGTGGCCGAGAGAGCCACCTCCAACTCAGTTCCTTTGACCGATACTTGTAAGTCTCGACGAAATAAGGCAAGTGACCGAGAGATGCCAGCAGCGGAGAAGGCTGGGTGGGATTGTGGTACTGCACAGAGGACCACTTAAAGATCATCAGTTACAAGTAAGCAACCTGTTTATCTTCGTCATGGTCTCTGTGCAGTCCCACACATGGGTGACTGACGAGCTGAACCAGATGGAGGAGGGAGCTGGCAGCTGAATGAAAGCAAAAACAGGTAAGAAAATGTAACAATAATCTCATTCTACAGGTCCTACCTGAGAAGGGAGAAGAGTCAGGCGAAGAGGGATCAAAGCACCGCCTGGCCAAAAGCAGCATCTCACCAAGCCCGAACGTCGAGTGCGTAATGGGATACAAAGGTTAATGGTGATAACCATGTGGCGGTTGCACAGATGTCCAGCAAGGAAAGCTGCCGACGGCGACATCGCTCTGGTGGAGTGAGCAGTAACACAGGTAGGTACAGGCTGCTTTGAAAGCTCATAACAAAGGGCGATGGTCGATGTAACCCACTTCGACAGCCTCTGGGAAGAAACAGGATGCCCCTTGCGAGGGGCACCGTAGGCAATAAAAAGTTGGTCCAAGTTTCAGAAGGGCTTAGTATGATGGAGACAGAAAGAGAGAGCTCTGCACACATGTAGTGAGTGCAGCGCCCTCTGAGAGTCATCCAAAAGGTTTTGAAAAAATGTCGGGAGTGTAGAGGATTTGGAAAAATGAAAAGCAGAGATGACATTCGAGAGAAATGCTGGGTCCAGACATAGGACCACTTTATCCCTATGAAAAACTGTGTAAGGAGCAATCTCTCCAACGCTGTGGGCTGTAGTAATGGCTACAAGAAAGGCTGTCTTCCAGGAAAGTAGATGGAGATCGGAGGAAGCTAATGGTTCGAATGGACGTCCCATCAACTGGGAAAGGACCAAAGATAGGGACCACAAAGGCACTACTGGCTTCCTAGGTGGATATAGGTGCAGGAGACCCTTCAAAAAGTCAGTCGATGAGAAAAAACAGAAGAGCCCTCTATTAGAGAATGGTGAACCAAAACAGCTGCTAGGTGCACTTTAAGGGAAGAGTAGGTGAGACCAGAATCTTTCAGACCAGATACGAGAAAATTTCAAACAATGCTGTAGAAGGATTGAAAGAATTGTGAGAAGCATAAATTGCAAAATGAGTCCACTTTGCACGATGTCCAGCGAGTGGCTGGTTTCCTGGCACTGAGCAGTATATCAGCTACAGCAGGGGGAAAGTTTATTACAAAATCCTCCAGGCTGTGAGATTGAAGAAAGCAGGATTGTAGTGAAGAACCTGGCCTTGATCTCGGGAGAAAAGATCCGGTTTCAGGGGCAGGCATAGAAATACCCTCTGAGAGAGGTGGAGCAGGTGTTGGAACCACGTTTGACAAGGCCACCACGCCGTGATGAGGATGCATGAGGTGTGATCCTTGACAATCTTGTGCGGCACCCTGGGAATAAGTGGAAACGGGGGGAAGAAGTAAAAAAGACAACCCGTCCACTTGTGGAGGAAGGCATCCCCTAGAGATCAGTGGGATGGATGACCCCAAGCAAAGAAGAGGGGGCACCGAGCATTGCTTGCCGTAGCAAAGCCGTTGATTTTCGGGTGACTGAAAGTCCGAAAGACTACATCTAGGCATAAGGGATGAAGAGACCATTCTGTTTCCTGCAGAGGAGAATGGCCGAGGAGATCGGCTTCGACACTGAGGATTCCAGGAACATGAACAGCCAATAGGGAGATCCTGTGAAGAAGGCACGACTGCCAGAGATCGACAGCAAGGCGACAGAGTTGCAGGGAAGCCGTTCCCCCTTGGTTATGTAGAATATGGTGACTACGTTGTCTGAAGCCACCTGGACAGTTTTTTCAGAGATGATGGGTAGAAAGGATCGTAGAGCTCGATGTACAGCCATGAGCTCCAGACAACTGATGTGGATAGCAGACTCCTGATGTGACCAGGTCCCTCTTGCCATAAGAGTCCCACACTGGGCTCCCCAACCCCAGAGGGAGGCATCTGTTGACAGAAGAACCTCTGGAGATGGATGCCTGAACGGAATGCTGCAAAGGCGATGCTGCAGTACTGTGCACCATTGCAGTGTGAGGGCATGCGTTGGGATGCGAAGGAGGCGGTCTAGTGGATGTTGTTGATCAGCTACAGCAGGGGGAAAGTTTATTACAGAATCCTCCAGGCTGTGAGCTTGAAGAAAGCAGGATTGTAGTGAAGAACTTGGCCTCGATCCCGGGAGAAAAGATCCGGTTTCAGGGGCAGCCATAGAAATACCCTCTGAGAGAGGCGGAGCAGGTGTTGGAACCACGTTTGACAAGGCCACCACGCCGTGATGAGGATGCATGAGGTGTGATCCTTGACAATCTTGTGCGGCACCCTGGGAATAAGTGGAAACGGGGGGAAGAAGTAAAAAAGACAACCCGTCCACTTGTGGAGGAAGGCATCCCCTAGAGATCAGTGGGATGGATGACCCCAAGCAAAGAAGAGGGGGGAGCACCGGGCATTGCTTGCCGTAGCAAAGCTGTTGATTTTCGGGTGACTGAAAGTCCGAAAGACTACATCTAGGCATAAGGGATGAAGAGACCATTCTGTTTCCTGCAGAGGAGAATGGCCGAGGAGATCGGCTTCGACACTGAGGATTCCAGGAACATGAACAGCCAATAGGGAGATCCTGTGAAGAAGGCACGACTGCCAGAGATCGACAGCAAGGCGACAGAGTTGCAGGGAAGCCGTTCCCCCTTGGTTATGTAGAATATGGTGACTACGTTGTCTGAAGCCACCTGGACAGTTTTTTCAGAGATGATGGGTAGAAAGGATCGTAGAGCTCGATGTACAGCCATGAGCTCCAGACAACTGATGTGGATAGCAGACTCCTGATGTGACCAGGTCCCTCTTGCCATAAGAGTCCCACACTTGGGCTCCTCAACCCCAGAGGGAGGCATCTATTGACAGAAGAACCTCTGGAGCTGGATGCCTGAACGGAATGCTGCAAAGGAGATGCTGCAGTGCTGTGCACCATTGCAATGTGAGGGCATGCGTTGGGATGAGAAGGAGGCGGTCTAGTGGATGTTGTTGAAGATAAAAGGCGTGGAGGAACTAAAGTTGTAGGGACCGCATACAAAGTTGAGCATATGGGACAATGAAGACCATCAAAACAAAAAGTCCCAAAAGCTTCATTATGGAATGAGTGCACTGGATGTTTGAGGAAGGTCATAGCTAGAGAAATGATGGACCGTGCACGGGTTTCGGGGAGAAACGCCATCTCATGTTTGGTATTGAGACAGGCTATGAGGAATTGTAGAACTTGGACACGTTCTAAGAGAGACTTCGGGAGATTGACACAAAGTCCTAAGTTGTGCAAAAGAGCTGGCGTGGTGCAAAGATCTTCTAGGAGTTGCAGTCCGGCTGGGGCTACGAGAAGCCAATCGTGGATGTAGGAACAGAGGACAATTTCCTTCTTGTGGAGTTCTGCAGCCACAACCGCCATCGCCTTGGTAAAGACACACAGAGCAGTGCAGAGCCCAAAAGGAAGGACTCTGTATTGGTAATGTTCTGCCCCATTGCCAAGCGGAGAAAGCGGCGATGCTGTGGCCAAATTGTAACGTGGAAATACGCACCCTGTAGATCGATGGATGCAAGCTGAATGGATTGCAGGGTAATCATGAAAAACGTTTTGCAGCAAATGAAATGGTTCAGATTTCGAAGATCCATTATCACCTGGACACCGCCGTCTTTTGGGGGGATAGTGAAATATTTGGAGTAGAACCCTCGAGTCCATTGCACTTCTGGGACTCTTTTGATGGCTCCCTTGCCGAGTAGTGTGTCAACCTCCAGATGAAGGGATGGAGATGGTGATGTGGTGACAAAGTGATGGGAGGTTCGAAGCAAAACGAAATCTAGGGCGTACCCCACCGTAGGATTGTGAAGACCCAGTTGTCTGTGGTAATGTCTTCCCAGGCTGATAGGAAGGGAAGACGACGAGTCCCTATGGGGAGAGTAAAAAGAGAAGGCGGTGGCAGGCAAATTGTTTGGGTTGTTGAGCCGGTTTAGTGGAAGGTTTAGATTTCTGGTTTAAGGTTGGATGAGAGTCCCCTGGCCTACGTTTCCACTGAGCAGGTGTGGTAGAAGAACTGGTGTTTATTATAGTATGGTCTCCACTGTCGATATCAAGGACGCTGGGCAGATGAAGAGGAAACTCTGAGATTTCGAGCCTTCTTACGACTATCATCCACGGCTTTTAGGGTGTCATCAGTGGAAGTGTGAAAAAGGCCCTCACTGTCAAAAGGTAGATCCT